TTGAATTACGATATAGTGCAAGGCACATGCTTGCTTTAAACGCTTTTGTTATTGAATTGGAAGAGGCATCTTTTCCTTACTAAGGAATTAATCTGTTGGTGAGACATCTGCTTGCGCACTAGTGAAAACACGGGTGTAAAAAAGTTATTTAGAACTGGAAATTGTCAAATTGCTGACGGTTGCTGGAAATTTAAGAGTGATTTTATTTTTAAACAAGTAGACAAATGATAAGAAGTCGGCATCTCTGAGATGGTTGAAAGGAACAAGTTATTTGAATTGGAAACTGATCTTTTTGGGACAAAAATGAATAGGGTTTTACAGAAGTTTATTTGCAAAAGGAAGGGAGAACTGGAAAGTGGCATTCAGAAGTACTGACTATAAAGATTAATCTTGCTTAGTCAGGTCAAGCTGCTTTTCTGTTCTTCGGCGCTTTGAAAATTGCCGTCTTGACATGGATTTTCGAGGAATCACAAATGTTGAAAAGTTAAAGCGATTTTATTTGCTACGTGGCGTTCATTTGGGTTTCTTTGTTCTATCTGCAAAACCTCACAAGTGGGAAGCTGGGGGTACTCGATGGGCAAAAAAAAAAGAAGCTATCAGTAAGATAGAAAAGTTAGACAGAGGTATTGAGGTGGAGACCAACAGTTGAAGAAGTAAAGCGTGGCTTTGTTCATCATAATTTTTGTCAGTCTGTGTTGGAATAGTAGAGTAGAGGACTAAGTCGCCTCTGTAAAAGTGATGATAATAAGGGAAAAGTTCCAGACCTTAAGCGCGGAAAAAATTAGAAGGTACAAAGAAAGAGCAAACATTTCTGGTAGAATGTTGTGTATAACTTGTAAATAAAATGAGAAATGGGATCTTTGTTTTTTTAGACGTGATGAGTTGTGAAGCAGTAAGAAGGCAAAGAAGCAGAAACGGCTGGAGCTCATTAAAGGTTCAAGTAGATCAAAAGTGGGATGTGACGATAGCTGAAAAAAGTAAACTAAGAAGGAATACAGAAAAAAATGAGGTAAAATCACGAATACTTGGGATTTACAATGGGGTCTGTTTTTGCTGGACGACACATCGCTGTTATACTGATTAAATGTGAGGTTGAAAGTAGTTAGGAAGAAGACAGTGCGCAAAGAATAGTTTTTCACATGTCAGCGTGAACCCGCATTGGGAGGTGGCCTTCTCTTAGTGACTGTGCTTCGCGAATTAATGTAACTAACCGACGCTGATTTTTTTGTCAGTTCTTTCAAACAATTTTTGGTAACACCAGCTAATCTTCCCTGATAGCAGCTTTTTGGAAACAATTTCGAATTAATGGGTGCTAGGTGATTCTCTGGCTGGCAGGTGAAATAAACCTGGGAATCCGAGGAATATGATTTTCTTAAGATTTTCATTAAAATCCTCTGATTAACTAATATCTGCATTGGTAGGGCATACAGGTTTGAAGATTCATTTTGTAACTGGAACGATAAAAACAACTTGAAAGTGTCTCGGGACATTGATGTTTTCAGTTGCAGTTGCTGTTGTGCATATTGTGCTATTCGTTCATTTGGATAAGGGTTTTTTTTTCCACTTTTTTTTGCTCGGGGTTTCATTTTATTTTTTTCTACTGTTTTTCAGGGA